TAGTGATGTAGACTGGGGTGTAAGAGCTTGAAGCTGCTGATGCAGCGCTTGGCGACAGAGAGACCGGCGAAGGAAGTCATGATGTAGCTCCACCGTAATGGAAGGTTTAGACGTTAAGTAGTGGATTAGGACTGATAGTGTGTGGTTGACCTTGGAGACTTAAAGCGGAGTGACAGCATAGGAGGTTTAAGTAAGATGCTTAATTTGTAGGTTTGGAGAAAGAGGCAAAAAATAACCATGTTCAACTGCAAAAGTCTTGATTCAAGCAAACTCTAATTGTGACATGTACAATATACAAGGCCCTGGCGTGAGTGATAGAGTAGTCGTGAAACTGCGTGAAGCGTGCGCACCTGTACGTAGTGTAATTGTGTGCTTAGTCCAAGATTAGCTCATGGAATGGTAGTATCCTGGAAGGTATGTAGTGGGTTGTAGGGTGTGCCTGAAAGAAGACCTTAAATTGAGAGCATGCAAAAGTGTCAGTGGCTGTGTAGTGGATACCAGGAATGTAAATGTAGACTAGAAAGAACTGAGGGGTTGCTGCCTGCCAAATCAGCCTGTGAATCAGCCACATTGGCGGCGAGTATGACTGCCCTTGCTAATGAAATTGCAGGCCGAGGAGTTGTCAGAGCAGTATTGAACTGCCTTGCCGGTCCAAAGATAACCCCATGTGAGGGAGGCCACCACGAAAGGGTAGATCTCCAACAAAGTAGAGGTCTCTCTAAAGGCCGGCAAGGCATCTGTCTCAGTGGGCCAGGCATCCCTAACGAGTGGTTGCTGAAAAAAGGCTGCAAACCCTGCTGCGTCTGTGTGAATTGAAAGTGAGTGTTTTGAAAGTGGGGGAATGAACGAAGAGATCCCAATCCATGCGGCCGAAAACTACTCCAATTGTGTAAAACTATGCTGGATGGATCACCCAAATGGTTGGGCAGGGGTCGGTATCTCAAGGAGCAAATTTAAGTGGCCCAGGGACAAGACACCAGCCCTGCGGAATGATACGCACAACAAAGTTGAGGGACCTAAACCAGGACCGAAGCCCCCTCCTATTGTGCGCAACACTCCACAGAAGTAGGACAAATCCGTTCCTAATGCGGGACAGATCTTTGGTAGGCTGGCTTGGAAAGTAGTGGAGTCCAAAGCTATGCCACAGAAAGTGAGCCTGGGAGAGGCACCGACTGGTGTTTGTGAACCTGTTAAATCAACAAAAAAATCATCCAGATAGTGGATGACTAATAGACACCTGAATATCTTTAGGAGTGGCCAGCAGAGGGTTTCTGCATAGGGTGGTGCCGAAGAGGTCTATGATCAAACTTATTTTTGGTATTGTGAATGGCTACCCCGATGGGAGTGGTACACCAAGATGAGAAACGAGGGTATACTGGTGTTTACCTATTAGGTTTTTTTTATCTGCTTTTCCTTCTGCCCGCCTCCCAGTCTAGTGCGTGGGATGAAGGAGTGATAAGAGGGACTAAACAGTTAAATTAGTGACAGACCAAAGAAGCCTGGATATGTCAAATGCATAGTGATAGGTAGCGGGTTCTCGGGTGTGTGCCGAGAGAGGGAAAAGACTTGCGTGGGCCTAACGAGACCATGCGCAGTATTAGGAATGTAGTATGAAAGGTTGTATTTATGTAACTGCTCAAATGAGGGGCTGGAATTGCCATAGTGCCCATAGAGGGCCATGTGTAAATGGATGGAGTGAAGGCTTAGTGAGTGCCATGTGTAGAGGTATTGTAGTGGAAGGCAGAGTGCTTAATGCTAGTCCTGAGCTGCTGGATGGAGAAATAGGGCTGTATGAGGGGTATGGATGTATGGAACGAACAAAGAAGGGAACGAACAAAGAAGGGGTGAGAGATACCTTCGGAGACCTAGGCCTGACTGGCGTGCTGGGTATTTCATCCAACAGTAGACCGATTTTTGGGATGGATTCTTGTGACATTCTGAAAAGAAATAATGATTTGGATAAGTAAGGTGTCGTAGAGGTGGGGATGAGACCTTCGGAGAACTGGCCTGATAGCTAGTGCCGAGGTGAAGAATTAACCTAGGACCAAGTGACAGGTGAGGCCCTGCTAGTGCCAAGTGGTGGAGAGAGGCTCTACCTATTATTTGGGCCGAGGGAATTTTGTGGCCACCTGAACGTGGTGGCAGGATGTTGGCCTCTCAGTGACCATAAGAGATTCAAGAAATGTGTGGTCGTGACTTGGGAAGCCCTAGCTGGGCCTGAAGAAGGGCGAGCGAAGTAGCTAACTATGATTTGGTCATGGGGCTGAACCTCCGTGTATGAGGTGGGGGTGTAGACCTCGCGGGACCATAGTATTACTTAGGATAGCTAAGGCCAGCGCCTAACCCTCAATGCCAGTTCACTAGCCTGATGGGGCTTGTCTCTTAGCATGGTGTAATTGACGTATGTATATACTTAACCTTGAGTATTGTCCGATTTCTTTGGTCAGTGCACAGGTGGATTTCGATATATTCTTGCTTCCGCAGGGAACGGGCCCAGTGAAGATATCCTAAGGGTAATATAGATGCTAGAGGGCCTGAGTCGTGCCTCTGATATGCCAAATGTAAAAATGTAAAACGTATGGGTAAAGCGTAATAATGAAATGTAACGTATGAACCCGTGTATGATGAGGGACCTGAACGTAGGTCCGTAAGTAGAGACAAGCCCCCCGGGGTTCCCACGATTGTGACGTTTACATGATACGAAGGCGAAGTGAGGCCTTAAGGAGAAACATAATCGTGAGTAAGATTTACAATACCTGAAACTGAAAAGCAGGGAACCAGATAGTCTTGTTGGTGGCTGATGCAGTGTAACTTGGCGAAACTGCGGTAATGACACAGGTCTGAGTGAAGAAATGTAGAAACAATAGAAAAAAAATGTACCGTTAAATAAGTAGTAGCAAGGTAGTGTAAGTTTTATGTGATTGATGTTTTAAAGAATGTGTTAATGCTCTCTAATGAGCCTGGTGAAAAAGGACCGTAGTGAAAGTACAATAGACTAAGTCCCCGCAGGATTAGATAATGCCTGGAGGTGTATTTAAAACGTAATTTATAAAGAGAAAAGGCCAAACTGTGCCTTTAAGGAGATTACCGTGGGAAATATAGGTGTCCCATAATTATGTGACCATGGACGGGAATTAGTGAAAACATTATTTAACTAGTGGTGACTTTAAGAGCCATATAATAAAAACATAACATCATATTGGATAAAATAATGTGAGCTTGGTTTAAGTAAAATGACATAATTAGATACATTTTCAGTAGCTCTGAGAATTTCAACACTGTAGCCTCTTGCATTCGTTTAAACGTATGAACAAGTACTGTACAATAGAAAGAGCTCCTGCGTTCGGTGAAAAGGAGCATACGAAAGATTTAAACGAAAAAGCCAATTGTATAGTCAGCTGTAGACAGTATAAGTGGATATTAACGAAAGATTGCACGAACAGCTGATTGAACGTGTTCGGCTGTACGAATGTACTGAAGAACAGACGAACGCAGGGTAAGTATGTGCGGTTGGTAAAATTAGTTTAACGAAAGTAAAACGAAGGCGTGTGTACTCCGCATTCCGCTGTTAGCCGCACGAACGGGGAAGTACACGAACAGTGTAATAGCACGAAAAGGTAGTAATGAAGGGAGCCTAACCCCGCGTTTTTACACCCTGAATGTGGGAAATAGCCAAAACGCTATTTCCCACGTTAAGCTTACATGGACGTGCTGGTCTCGTGACCGGGAGCCGGGTAGCGAGTCGCGAAGACGGGTAGAAGCCGCTGGACGAGCACAGAAGACGGAAGGCAGGAGCTGCTGGCAACGGACTGTTTGCAGGAGACTGACTTTGGCGGGAAACACCGGACCAGACGTGCTGGTTGCTATGGAGAGGACAAACAGCTTGCACAACAAAGGTAAGTAGGGGGGTAGGGTTTGTATAGGATCATAACTCCTCCCACAAATTCAGGCCAAATGGCCTTCCAACATATATAAAAATAAAAAAAACATAAAAAAAGTATTTTTAAAAATATTAAATCATTGTAAAAATGAATCCAAAAATATTAAACTATTGGAAAAGCTTATCAAAAATATTAAACCGTGACCCTAATTTGAAGTTTGTTCTTACTTTTAGCCTACATTCCTATGTTGTGTGCTTCAAATCCGCAATCAGCCCTAAATGTTTCAGCATATAGCTTGCATTAAAATTCGACGCCTGAAAAATCAAGCCTCCGTTGGTTCAGATTAGAGTCTATTTCAAATATTAGATTTATTCTAGGTGCTCACAGATCATGGAGAAATTAGAATCATTACACTTCAGTATATCTACAAGATTAAACTTGGCACCAAATTATGACCCACAAAGATAGAACCTCTTCTCCCTTTGCATTACATTGTGGCTTTGCTTAAACAGAATATACTCAACGTAGAAATATAGAATTTGTCTACAGATAAGTACCACTTAGTCTGCCTAATTTACATATATTTCTGTGTGTTTATTATTTCAATTCTTTTATTTGTCTGACTATATCTCATGTTCATAAGAACGCCATGCATATCTCATTAATATTTTTTTATTCGTTCACTTGACATTTTTCCAGTTCAGATGTGGATATTTCTTATTACCATTTATTTACTAAACAGTGACTTGTTTACACATTTTCCCATCTGCAAACTCAGCTGTATTGGAGATCTTTTTCGTTTAACTCTGCTATTTTTACCTAAATTTCAAAAGTTACTTCTCATGGGGGGCATAGTATAGCTTACCCCTAAAGAACAAGCAGACAACGTAATGTAAACTGCTGCACATACCTGCTGTGTTCATGTATGCTGTTGTGTGCCTGTTTGCCTATTGTGTTCATGCTTACTGCTTTTTGCCTGTCTTCTGGGTACCTGTTTACTTGCTGTGTTCCCTCTGCTACTTTGTATCGGATTGCCTGCTGTTCTTCTATCTGCTGCTGTGTTCATGTCTGCTGCTGTGTATCTGATTGCTGTTTTTCTGACTGCTGCTGTGTATCTGCCTGCTGTGTATCTGTCTGCTGTGTTCATGTCTGCTACTGTGTATCTGATTGCCTGCTGTTTTTCTATCTGCTGCTGTGTATCTGCCTGCTGTGTACATGTCTGCTGCTGTGTGTATGCCTGCTGTGTTCATGTCTGCTGCTGTGTATCTGCCTGCTGTGTTCATGTCTGCTGCTGTGTATACTGTGCCTGCTGTGTTCATATCTGCTGCTGTGTATCTGCCTACTGTGTTCATGTCTGCTGCTGTGTATCTGCCTACTGTGTTCATGTTTGCTGCTGTGTATATGCCTGCTGTGTTCATGTTTGCTGCTGTGTATCTGATTGTCTGCTTTTTTTCTATCTGCTGCTGTGTATCTGCCTACTGTGTTCATGTTTGCTGCTGTGTATCTGCCTACTGTGTTCATGTTTGCTGCTGTGTATATGCCTGCTGTGTTCATGTTTGCTGCTGTGTATCTGATTGTCTGCTTTTTTTCTATCTGCTGCTGTTTATCTGTCTACTGTGTTCATGTTTGCTGCTGTGTATATGCCTGCTGTGTTCATGTCTGCTGCTGTGTATCTGCCTACTGTGTTCATGTTTGCTGCTGTGTATATGCCTGCTGTGTTCATGTCTGCTGCTGTGTATCTGATTGTCTGCTTTTTTTCTATCTGCTGCTGTGTATCTGCCTGCAGTGTTCATGTCTGCTGCTATGAATCTGTTTGCCTGCTGTTTTCCTGTATGCTGCTATGTATCTACAGTTTTGTTGTAAATAAATCAATAAAATTAATTGGCACTGTAAGGGCTACTGATAACCATTTTTAAAATAAAAATGTGTCTGGCATGATTACACCAGCAATTTCCATTCTCCTCTTCAGTACTGACTACTGGAGAGGCTGCTGGTAACATCGCATGACATCACATTGGGTTAACTGGGTAGAGCCCAAGAAGTCGGAAAGGCAGCACCCCTCCATTTTTAAACTTCACCAGCCACCACTGTTTGTATTTGTTTGTCTGCTGGATTCCTGTATGCTGCTGTGACTGCTTAATTGCTGGTCCATTGTTCATCCCTTATACACCCTGTTCCAAATTATTATGCAAATTCTATTTAAGTGTCACAAAGATGAAATGTTTTGTTTTTCAGTTTAACTCATGGATGGCATTGTGTCTCAGGGCTCTTTTGATCACTCAAAACAATCTCAGACACCTGTGATAATTAGATTGCCAGGTGAACCCAATTTAAGGAAAAACTACTAAAGGAGGGTGTTCCACATTATTAGGCAGAGCACCATTTTCATGCAATATGGGGAAGAAAAAGGATCTCTCTGTTGCCGAAAAGAGTGAAATAGATCAATGCCTTGGACGAGGTATGAAAACATTAGATATTTCATGAAAACTTAAGCGTGATCATCACACTATCAAGAGATTTGTGGCTGATTCAGAGCACAGATGGGTTCGTGCAGCTAAAGGCACATAGAGGAAGATTTCTGCCAGATACATGCATCAGATCAAGAGAGCAGCTGCCAAAATACCAGCAAACAGATATTTAAAGCTGCTGGTGCCTCTGGAGTCCCACAGACATCAAGGTTCTATTTGGCCACCACTAACCAATGCTCACAAGCAGAAATGGCTGCATTGGGCAGAAAAATACATGAAGACTAATTTTCAAACAGTCCTGTTCACTGATGAGTGCTGTGCATCCCTGGATGGTCCAGATGGATGGAGTAGTGGATGGATGGTGGACGGCCACCCTGTTCCAACAAGGCTGCGACGTCAGCAAGGCGGTGGTGGAGTCATGTTTTGGGCTGGAATCATGGGAAGAGAGCTGGTCTGCCCCTTTAGGGTCCCCGAAGGTGTAAAGATGACCTCTGCAAAGTATGTGGAGTTTCTGACTGACCACTTTCTTCCCTGGTACAGAAGGAAGAACTATGCTTTCTGTAATAAAATCATCTTAATGCATGACAATGCACCATCTCATGCTGCAAAGAATACCTCTGCATCAATGGCTGCTATGGGGATAAAAGGAGAGAAAGTCATGGTGTGGCCTCCATCCTCCCCTGACCTCAATCCTATTGAGAACCTTTGGAGCATCCTCAAGCAAAAGATCTATGAGGGTGGGAGGCAGTTTACATCCAAACAGCAGCTCTGGGAGGCTATTCTGACATCTTGCACACAAATTCAAGCAGAAACTGTCCAAAAACGCACAAGTTAAATGGATACAAGACTCGTGAAGCTGCTATCAAATAAGGTGTCCTATGTTAAAATGTAACGTGACCTGTTAAAATGTTGTTAGAAGTTTGATTGAAATAGCTTTAGATATCAGTAAATATGCTGCAAACACAACAAATTACAATTTTCAGTTCTTTACAACCTATAAAGTGTTTTGAAACTACCTGTGCGTAATAATTTGGAACAGTGCTTTGTAAGTTTTTTATGTTTTCAAAAAATACTGTTATTATTAGGAGGATTGTTCAATAAAATTTGATTGTACTCTTAATAGTTGATATCATGAGAATTATGCTGACTGTTATTTACATAAATTATTTAGGTAAATGAGAAAAATATAATTTGAATAATAATTTGGAACAGGGTGTAGTCTGAAAATATTAACAGACTAATATTAGTTCAAGGTTTACCTTGTGGATAAAGATGATAATGATTGTTACGTTAAAGAATGAACTGATATTTGTTCACATACTCCTCTGTTTTACATAGTTACATAGTTATCTAAGTTAAAAAAAAGACTAAGCTCCATCAAGTTGAACCTTACAACTCATTCTTTTATGCTGTTGATCCAAAAAAGGCACAAAAAATACAAATGTAGCCATTTCCAATTATGCCCCAAAAACGGAAAAAAAATTGTCTTGTCTCCATATAGGCAATCAGTTATCTCCAATCAGAGTTCTGGTACCTATGCCATCAATGAGCCATTCAGCCTAGCTCACAGTTCAGTGAATAGGCCCAAGTATATTTTTCCAATAAATAATTTTTCTCTGTAGCTCTAGTCTATAACCTCTTGTTCTAGCAAGTAGTTATTTATAATAAAAATATTCTTGCATTATTAATATAATAAGCTATTCAGTTGCATATATCATTTGGATTGTGGTACTGATTTCATATTTGCTGTACAAAGATTTGGTTAAATAACTCTTCTCGTTCCGAATCTCAGTGTGCACATTTCCATATCTTATGTCTGCTATTCAAGGCTTGTACACATTCCAAAAACACATGGTTTAAGATTTGTTGTATATCGTGCAGATTTATATCCCCCCAGTTCCCAATTCACTTTGTTTAGATGATTCATGCCATCACACAGTGCAATTATATGGCACCAGTCATGCACAATATTATAAAGATATTTGGGGAGACGACATTTAGTTAAATCATTCTAACTTACTTTGGGGATAATTAACTTGTACTGTTTCAGGGTAAAGATATCCCTCATTCTAAGTCATGTGACAAAAGTAACTATTAAAACTTCAAGTACTATTATTTAAAATGTATTTTCTCATTAAAAAAGATCCTTAGTGGTTACATAAATGACCATTCTGTGAATAATTTATAATGCATTATGCATTGTAAAAACTGAGAAGCAGCACAGACATAGTTAAGATTAAGGTAACTGAAGAATTTCCATTCTTGTAACAATATAAATTAGCAAGCTCATCATTTTAAATCAGGCGTACATACACTGACTAGGATTTGTGGAAAATGCTTTTTGTACAAATCAGAGCCTGCTGGAGGTTTTTTATTTACATGAACCTATTTACAATTTACTTGTCTTTTTATACACACTAAAAAAGGCAGAATTGAAGGCAAGAATTTTTAACCCTAAATTTTTCTTGAATCAAAGTCCCTGGAACCTTAAATATTTCAAGCTACCCTTTTTGTACCTTTAGGTCCCCTAATGGTAAACAATCTCTAACCTCAAGCTTCACTAACCCTAATGCTATGTCTCTTCCAGAGGCGGCTCTAGACTTTATGAGGCCTTAGGCGAAACTCAAACCTGAGACCCCACTAACAAAAAAATAGACATGCACACTGTGTGAATGTATGTCTCTGTGAGCATGTTTGCATTTTTGCCTGGGACCGTATGTGTATGGGGTAGCTGCTTGAAGTGTGTATAGGGGTCTGCCTGTAGCCTTTATGCATTGTGTTTATGGCAAAGTTATGTTTCCTGACTGTTTGTGTATGATGAATGTCTTCAGCTGGTCATTCAGACTGTGACAAGGTGAGTAAAGGGGTACCAGAGACAGGGCAAAGGGGTAAATGGGACAGGGTGGGGGTTTGGGGGTGGGGAGGTTTGTGAGAGAGAATGAGGGACAGAGAGTATGACATGGTTTGATGAGGGAGTGTGACAGAGCGAGTGGAGGTAAGTGTGTCAGGGCAATTGTGGCTTGGTAGGAGGGACGAGTGTGACAGGATTAAGGGGGCTAATGTGACAGGGTGAGTGTGGCAGAGTGAGGGCACCTGAGTTTGGAGGGGGTGAGATTAACAGGATTAAGAGTGGTTAATGTGAGTGTGGATGCATGAAGGGGGTGATCCTGTGTGTGAGAGGATGATGGTGTGAGGGAGGGTGATGGTGTAAGGGAGGGATGGGGGTGATGAGAGGGAGAGGGAGGTGATAGTGAGAGGGAGAGGAGTGATAGTGAAAGGGAGAGGGGGTGATGGTGAGAGGGAGGGGTGATGGTGAGAGAGGGGTGATTGGGAGAGGGGGTGATTGGGAGAGGGGTGATTGGGAGAGGGAGGGGTGTGATGGTGAGAGAGAGGGGATGATGGTGAGAGGAAGGTGGTGATGGTATGAGGGAGAGGGGTGATGATGAGAGGGGGTCATGGTGAGAGGGAGAGGGGTGATGGTGAGAGGGAGGAGGTGATGGTGAGAGGGGGTGATGGTGAGAGGGAGGGTGTGAGGGAGGGGGTGATGGTGAGAGGGAGAGAGGGTGATTGTGAGAGAGAGAGGGGGTGATGGTGAGAGGGGGTGATGGTGAGAGGGAGGGGGTGATGCTGAGAGGACGGGTGTGAGGGAGGTTTTTTTTTAGAAGACATCATGACTTTATTGATAGTCAACAAGATACGACCCATAAACAATTTTTTGATAAATGGTAAATTTTGTGACTATCAATGTACAAGGTCTTAATTCACCCCAAAAAAGGAAAGTAGTAATTGATCGTATAAAAACAGAAAATGCCCATATAGTGTGCCTACAAGAGACGCATTGGTGACAAGCTGATGAAGGGCGATTTAGATTTCGAGATTTTCCTCTTTCAGTATGTTCGTCATTAAAAGAGAAAAAGAAAAGAGGAGAAGCAATTTTTTATTCAGCTAAA